GGCCTCGGGCTCACTCGCGTCGCCTGCCTCACTCTGGACGCCCCAATCTGTAAATATAATATTTATTAAATACTATTTTGTGTAATGACATAACTTCAATAGGTAATTCAACATTCTTGGTAAGGTTAATAAAACCTCACTTTGAATAAATTTTAAATATATTCATTAAACTTCATAAGAAATTTTTAAACAATGGTCAATTTTTAAACATTACATGTAAGCCAACATCGAGCGCCTACTATTTCGAACTGAGCAATTTTGCTAAGTGAAGTATATGTTCAACATGATTTTTCAAGGAGGTGTTTACGATATAATCTGTGTATGTATAACATTGCCAACAATGGGAATTCAGTAGTACTGACTGAAGTCAACAAAATCTGGTAGTAGTCCACAATACAACAAATCTATATTACATGCCTAAGTAAAAATAATAATGTAACCAATAATTACAAACTACAAATAATTTCGATTGCGTCCACTAAAGTAATGCTGGTAGTTATTTGCATATTTTGACTATAGACTCAGTAAACATAATAACATATGTTTACAACCTCATCGTGTGATTGTCTAAAGACTAATTCGTTATTCCACAACAGTTGTCAGTTGCATAATGTACGACAAGTTCTGTGTATCGAGATGCCTGTTCTTTGTTCAACAAGATTGTACGGACGAGATATATACGAATTGATGAAACACCTCATGTTTTACAACGATCATTGCTTTACAAAAAAAACAGTAAAATTTGCAAAGAACAATTAATAGGTAGATATAAAAGTTTATCGTATAGTCAAAGGATACATAAAACGAATTTAATTAATAAAAAATAGCGTTTAACAAATAAATCATTGAATATCTCATAAAACACTATAAATCAATAAAAAAAATATTAAAGTGTTACAATTAACATCTTATTCGTGAGTCATTTAATGTTTTAATAATGGTTGTAATTGGTCGAGTTGTTCCGCGCACGAGAGTCGAGGAATGCCATGGCTAAAATGGTAGTGTTAGTATGGAGGTATCTGATGAGTAGAAAGCACCACGGATGGGTGGCCGCGCGGCGTGACTTGAAATCAATTCACCACACGAATGCTATCGATAAAACGTACAAAACTCATTTATAACATCGTTATAGAAACTGAATAAGAAATAAGAATGTTTAATTGATCTACAAGAGTTATTTATGAAAAAATAAAATGATGAACATAAAAACAACATGTAAACAAACTCGTAACCTCTTTTGAAGTATCTTTTACGTTAAAATGTCTGGCCACTAATACATTTCATTTGAGTCTACTTAAAAAATAATATTATTAGAAATATTATTCGCATTCATTAATTTTAAATAGTAATCACCGTTTCGCAACAATGAGCAATTTGTTTCAACAACTTTCAAAGAATTAATGCAATTACGGAGATGCTTCGATGCGGATAAACGTAAGAAACTGTTTTCTCTACAGCTTCCTACGACAAAGATTTCTCAGATATAATACGATTCTATTAAGACATATTTAACTAGCAATAAAATAAATAGAAAACGAAACAATAAATATTTTAACGATTATACGCCATGTCTTTATGGCAATTATTTTATAGCAATCTTAGTCGTAGTGAGAATTTACTTGTTATTAGCTTTCTCCCGCGACTCCGTCAGCGCGGAATTAAAAAAAAACAAAATAAGTAGCCTTAGAAAGAACTTCCAGACTATGCCCTACATCCATGCCTCGAGATCCGTTCAGCAGTATAGGCTACAAACTCTAACAAACATCTATCAATCCAATGTAAACTTTCGCATTTATAACATTAGTAAGAAGTAAGATAATAACTTCCAACCCTTATTTCTACACTTTCTTAATTCGTGTTAAGTTTTATAATCCTTTTGTTTACTTTACATAAATATAATTCCAGTAGATGTACACGCCAATGTTTTTCAGTTTTAAGTAATTCGATTTGAATAACAACTGTTCTTTAATATGAAACCTTATAATTTAAGTAACATAAGAGGGTTGCCTTTTTAGAGAGCAAATAAGTTTAAAACATATGTTACTGGCAGGTGTAGTGGCTTCAGTAATAATTAAAAACTAAACATATGTTTGTCCAATTGCTTACGTTTAAAGCAAAGTAAGTTTTACATACAATTACATACAATTGACACAATGTTGTAGTTTTTGTAAAGAGCTAATGTTGCTAAGAATGTTCGTTGATAACTTTTTACGGTATAAATAACAGTTTCATAGTTATTTGTCTATCTGCGTTTATGTTTTTTATTTCGTTCTGTTTTATTATTTATCACGTTCTTTAGTCGTGTCTGATATCTTTACTTCTAATTCAGTTTATCAACAAAGTTTTTACAATAGCGATAGAATTATTTCTTTGAACTGTCACAATTATAATTTTGGTGAATTCAATAAGTAATACTTACATTTTCTAAATTTTCTTTTTATATAAAATTGAGAGAATTAAAACAGAAATCTATAACAAATTTCAATGAATCAATTCTTAGGTATTGTTATAATTAAATAGAACTTAACCCTTAAATGCATGATTTTTTATTTAATTATGAAATATATATTTCAGTGTAGGTTTTGAGTCACTGATTAAGATAAAAATAATTTAAAAAATCTTGGTTTCAATAAAAACTATATTTTTGTTAAATCTTTTCGAGACATAATGACGAATCGGTACATTTTACCTTCTAGGATTCGATCGTAGGTCATTAAAAAAATTCTTCGAACTTATACAGCGTTATTTACTAATTATAATAATTTGTTTGCCGTAACTTTTTAAGGGCGGATGCCTTTTTTAAAGACGTAAACATGCTTAACCATGTGTCATGAATATAGATTCAGTTTGTCCAGTAACATGCTTACTTAGACGTATAACATGTATCAATTGAAGACGTCGATAGATTTATAATGTGAAGCGGTTTACGTGACTTAAAATTGAAACACAATAACACACATCTATGTATTCTTCATTCAATTTTGTGCGTGATACTTTTAATCTACGCTATTTGAACTAGGATTAAAAAAAAATGTTAACTAGCCCTGCGCATTTAGACATACCTTTAGCTTTATTTTTCTGTCGCCAAGGTGAGACATGTTAGACAATGGGTTGACACACAAAATTCCTTTTATATAGTTTTGGCTTTAAGTCTACGTAAATAAATAATTAACACAACGCCCCATTGTTTTCATATAGATGTATGTTACAATTACGCAATCATAAGCTATTACGTTAGCGTGGCCTCGAATAACGAATACGGGCAAAGATATTTAAGCATGTATCGAAATGATCGGACGTCCTTATTCTAATACAAACATAATCGGCCAATGAAAGTAAGTTTGGCCAACGTTGGCGCATACCCAAGGCTTGCCAAGTCGCTTGGACGTGGGATGCAAGGAGGCTGTCGAGGTCAAGCAGTCCATATTTTTGCTTATGTTTACTTAGATACGAAGCTAATAAAGAGCGACGTGGGTTGATTAATTACAAACTATACTGGAGTCCTAGATCTAGACTATAGTTAAGTTGTTTAAGCAGTGATTTAAGTTTTCTTAGATGGGTTTATAAATATATTAAATATTTTTAGTATTTCATTTTCGTTTTTTAATTGTATTTTGTTTTTAATCGATTGTTAGTCTATTATTACCAGTTATTACATACTTCAACAAATTTATAATGTGTTAACTAAATAGTTGTGTTATAGATCTTCGATCATTTTTTAATCATAATACGTGCTTTATCTGCGGTTGAACATTAGTTAATCTATGAACACATTTTTACGTAAATAGTGTTATTTCATTACAGTTTTATAAGGAAGTTATAAATATTATGTGTATTTATATATCCTTTCCAGTATTGTAAAGGAAATGGTACTCTAGGTAAACAGGTTTTCATTGTGGTTGCGTGAGTAAACCTTTCAAATATGGCTACGAAAGTACTGACAACGAGATTTAGTACAAAACTACTGTTACGGATGTATTATAATAAAAATACATAGCCTTTTTCTATATTACTGTTATAGAGGAAAGATTTGTATTTTTATATGTATTGAAATAACTCAATAAATACTGTGCCGACTTTTAAAATTCTTTTACTGTTAGAGAGGTAATTTATCTGTGAGTAACATAGGCTGTGTTTTCTTTTAATTTCACGCTGTCGATGTCGCGAACAACAGCTAGTAAAACGCTAA